AACTTCATCTTCATCTATGTGTACATCTTTGATTTTCTGGAGGCACTGTAGTGAGGAGTTGGTAGAATATTCACTCTTCTCTGTGAGATGTCCAAGCTTTTTTGTCACTTCTTTTGCTATGAAAGAAAACAACCAAGCTCAGAGAATCCCAAGGACTCCACAGTTCAACCCTGAGCTACACATATTCACTTCTATTGGTAATATTCTATTGGTATTGGTAAGACACATGACAATTTCCCCTATGTGGCAAATTTATGTATTTGTTTAATTTAGGGATAGACAGCCTTAATCCCAGGAGCTACATGTGGCCTTAAATCTTTTCTTTAATGTCCTCATAACCTCCTAAGATCACATCAACCATTTAGCACTGAATTAGACTGGTATATCCCATTGTTTTTTAAAACAAGCACTAAGATAGCTGTTTTAAGTCTCTGATTGGCTTAATGCACCTATTTTAGTTTTTTAAAAATACAAAGAGAAGGGGAAGGGGAAAAGCAGACTCAAATCAAAATAAAATACTTTTTTATTTTATTTTATTTATTTATTGCTTGCTTGCCAGTTTGGTGTAATGGTGAAGGTGCTGGCCTAAAAACCAGGAGACTGTGAGTTCTAGGCCTCCCTTGGGTGTTAAAGCTGGCCGGGTGACTTTGGGCCAGTCCTTCTCTCTCAGCCCAACCCACCTCACAGGGTGGTTGTTGTAGGGAAAAGAGGAGGCAGGAGTATTAGGTATATTTGCCCTCTTGAGTTATTTATTTATATTTATGTATATAACAGGCGGGATTAAATAATAATAGTAATAGTAATGGTCAACAATCAGATGTAGGTACAATTCAGCAACAATATTACAGGGAGGAAAGGGGAATGAGATGCAGGTAACTGTGCAATTTACACAAAAGAAGGGAGAAAGAGGAGGAAAAGCAGGTAAGAGCTAGAGTACCAGACCCTATTTAAAGTATATGTAAGGCAGTGGGAATTGCAAGAAGTGCTTAACTGTTAACTAAGTACAATACTGTATTGCTGAATGACAGTCTAGTAAAGTATTAAAATACTAATTTATTAAAACATTAAGTTAAATAAAGTGATAAAATGTAGAAATAATACATTAAAATAATAAAATTCTAGATTCTTGTGAAAAAGAAAGTATACCCTCTTTGAGTCCTATGGTTTTACGTATCAGGGCATTATAACTAAGGTGTACTTAGTTTTTCACACATGGCTTCTCCATTTTGGCTTTCTTTTTGTAAAAGATATGACGACATGGTTTGTCATGTGTTGTTGTTCATCTGGGGTTGTTTTTACCTACTTTTGAGAACTGCTAAGGACCAGATGATTTTTTTTTTGTCC